AAAAAAAAAAAAAAAAAACAAAAAAAAAAAGGAAAAATAAACAAAGAGAAGAAAAAACCCAGCAACAAATCATATGAAAACCACAGCCAGCGCCACCTGGCGGTGGTGGCAAACATTGAACGGCCATGTATTTTTTTATATTTTTTTTATTGGGTGCCCTTTTGTATGCATTTCAGTTTGTGCAGATAATGAAGTTCATTTAGCACACGGCGAGGGTGCTTAAAAAATCAACGCATTACGCATTAGCTTTAACATGCTTTCTTAACGGTTTATGGTGCGGGCGGGGGCGGGCCGAAAACTTTTGGCTCATCCTCAGCTTTGGGCGGGGGAAAAACTTTGAAATGCATTGAGTTTGTAATCTGTAGTAATTTTGTGGGCGGGCACATTACACTCAATGTATTCCGGCTACAACGGCGTTTGCATATTAATTTTGGCTGGCGCCCGGGGCGTATGCTTAATATTTGAATGCGTCTCACCTATGTTTGGCTTTTCTAATTTTCTGGCTATTCTGCCGAGCTCCTCTTGCCTTTGCTGTTATTATTATTTAGTTGTTAACGAGCCTCTGCTGTCTGATTCGCTCTTATGCCAGGCACGTAGCAGTTTGGTCAGGTTATTTGCGGAAGCTTCTTCAACCTTTCGTTGAATCTCGTGTATTTGAATTTATGGAGCTTAAAGACGTGTGCAAAAGACTTACAAATGCTTATGAAGCTTAGAGCATGTGAAAGTAGTTTTAACTTAGAGTCAGCCCGAGCGTGATGTGGGTTAAATAGTATTTTAAATGCTGCTGGGCTATCCCTAATGAATGACCGAAAATATCTGACATTTTTTGTGCCTTTTTCTCACCTTTGGATTAGCTCGCTGTGCACTCAAGCGCAACAATCAGTCAACTCAACAGTCCCGCAATCTAATTGCACTACAACACAAACCGGGCTCATAACGGTGCCAAAGGGTTCAGTCGCATTGGCTAATTTGTACGCTTCGCACGTAGCCATCGCCAAAACGTTGCCACTTAATGCCAACTAAAAAGCCGTGAGCCGAGGATAAATGGAATTAAGCCGGGGATTACGGCAATTTAAAGTGCAGCCGGCAGAGCTGGACAATTGGGTTAATTAGGGCAATTAATTCCAATTAAATTGGTTTGGAATATAAGATTTCATTCAATTGCAGCAATGGACGATGAACTACGTAAACTTAATTGAAATTCAATTTCTTTGGGTGGGCTTAAATTTGCAAAAATTGTGTTAAATATGCATAAAATTTAAAACACTGAAAGAATTAAATTGCAAATTTAGTATTTTAATCTTATATGCATTTTGACTTTAAATTAATTATATTTCTATTGGTTATTTATTTATTTTTATTTTTTAATATACTTAATAAGACTATAACAAAGATTTAAAAAAATATTTGTTTGGTATTTTATACTGATAAATTAAATTGAATTTAATTCAATTTAATTTATGTTTACTACAATTTCAAAATTTTATTTTTGTTAATTGCTTTGAGACATATATTTATAATTTTGGTATTTTTATTAATTATTATTATTTTATTAATTAATTTGTTTGATTATTATTATATTATTATTATTTTTTTTTTATTTTTTTTTTTTTTTTAATGACATTAATTAATAATAAGAATTTTGCATGTGTAAGGAACCTAAAATTCTCCTGAAATAAATTTAAAAGTAAATTTTTGCACTTTGCAAAAAAAATCCTTGCACAAATAAAAAAGTTATATCAATTTAATATAGAATATAATTCTAACGTCATTTCAGTCAAGCGAAAAATTGTTCAAATAAATTAAATGAATAAATCTTGGTAGCAAACAGCGTAAATGTTTGCACATTGACGTCCACAAATCCCTAAAGTCTTTTGTTTACCTTAATTTCTTAATTAAACTAAATACAGTAGACATTTCTCTTCACTCTAACATCTGCTTCAACTATCGAGTAGCTGCTACTCATTTATCAAGCAGCAGCAGCTGCTTAGATGGCAATTGTTATTATTTGCTAGTCCATTGCTGAAGCCAGCTCTTAGAACTCAGCCTGCAAATCTGGCAAGCAAATGCGAACAGGTGTCTCGGCCAGATACGTGTTAATGACCCACTCGAGTGAGAGGCGACAAAGCTACAACTGTCTCAGTTGGGTTGAGTGCTTACCAAAATTGTCAGCCAACTATTGTGAGGGAGCATCCTCAGCAAGGCTAGCCTCAGCATTATATTTAGACATGCTCACGTGGGCCAGCACGTCATTTGCTTTGCATGGCTGGCATCTACAAATTAACATGTGTAAACGCAATTTAATTATGTTTAGCATAATTGAAATTTCACTTTTAGAAACCAAACACGTGCAAACCTGAAATACCGAGGGTTAGTTGGGAAAGTTTATAAGGAAGGGATGTAAATATTTTTTAAATATATTTGTTTATTTTAAAAGGTCATCGATGAGAATTTTGAATTACAAAAAAACAGTTTCCCATTATGACAAACTTAAGGAGTGGGTTTTTTTTCTAATATTTCCATCTAATATGTTCCCATTAGTTAAAAAATATTTTTAAAGCTCTTTATAGCATAAAAGCCCTAGTTTAAGTCATTGACATTTTAAACAAAAAGTATTTCATTTTTTATTTTTATATATTACATTTTTATTTATATATATATGTATTTATTTCCACTGATTTCCATGTTTCATACTCAGATAAAATTTAGCAACAATTTAATGTAATTATTATTTCAAACTCCATATGAAATAATCACAAAAATTTCCATGCTTCACTATCAGCCCAACCCCAGCCGAAAATATTGTTATTCTGACACATGGAATCCGCTTAGCAAAGCTTACAATCAACCCTCGCTGCATGCCATGAGAACTTCAAAGGTGGCCCGGACCTCGTCATTTCAGTGGATCTAGGGCCCACTTGTCGACGTATTAACTTTGTGTAAGACATACTTTGCCTTTCGGTTGATGTAGAGCCTTTTAAACAAGCAACAAAAAAAAAAAAAAA